TAAAGTAAGTGATTAATTATCAATACAATATAAATAGTCTAACGCTTTGTACAATGTTGTGAATATTAATTAATAAATGATTATATATTAGGTAACAATACCCATATTCCAAGTACCTCCAAATAAATACAAACTCAGCATTTTGTTGAACAATATTTGGAAGAAGTCAATGACAATTACAATGATGGTAAGTATCGAAATATGTATTGTTTAATCTTAATTGTATAATGAGTATAAACATTATTTTGTAGACAACAATAAAAACATCAACTGAAGAAATACAATATGAGACGGACATTGAAAATAAAGGCTACTATGCTGAATACATTTTACCATGCACGGTTAACGTTTTGTCTGAAGATGACATTATGTGTATTATAGACTTTGTTATCAGTGGCACCGGTGTTTATGTAAGTATGGTTTATTTATTCATTAGCTTAGTATAAAACGTATTCAATTATTTTAACTTTTTAACTTTATTTTAAGTCATACGTATGTCTTTGTTGGGTTTGTTTATATTCGGGAAAAAAGTTAGATACTATGGAACGTGACTTGAAAGTTGAAACATTTCCAACTGGTGTGAAAATGATTGATTATAGGCATTTTGTTCGTCGTTATGACCCATATGCCCTATCTCACTAACGCAACGCGAACGTTGTTGATATGCATCAAAATCGTGCACATGTTATCTGTACCATATATCAGGAAAATGTATCCATTTTACTCCAATGAGAAGAAGGGTCAATTTATATTTGTATGTTTCCCAATGGCGTAACTTCTATGACAGTAAAAACTACACAACGCCTTCTTGTCTATTCCTTATTATTTCTGGCTCTCAAATAAACCTTCAACTCTGTACATTGGTTAGTCATTGAATAAGTATACTTTATCTCTTTATCTGGTTCACACAACTCAACCTCAAACTTCGAAAACAACAAAATCAGAAAAGTCTTGATGACTTTTTCAGCCACAATTCTACCCGGACACGTCCTTACCGTCCCACCAAAAGGCAAGAACGTTTTTGGCTTTATTTCATCCGTACATTCGTCCAAAAACCGCTCAGGTCTAAACGTTTCGGGATCTTTCCAATACGCCGTGTGCTTGTGAATGATTCCATAGTTTACTCCAATTGGCGTGCCGGCCCGCCACTTGTACCCAGCAACTTCATCGTCTTCAGACGCTAGTTGAATCACTATTGGAGCTACGGTAAGCACACGAGCGGCCTCTTTCATCACCGCACTGGTGTATGGGAAGAGCGTGACAATAGAGTCATAAGAAAGGCTGTGGCCTTTGGAGGAAACCGTAGCATCGATTTCGGAAAGCAGGCGAGCTTTGACGGCTGGGTATTTACAGGTGTAATAAATCGTGAAGCAGATGGCGTTTGTTATCTAGTACAAATGCAGATGGCTCCAAGTAAGAACAAGTGATAGCATTTTAACAAGTACACGACAGATCGGATGTCATATACTTACTGTGTCGATCCCACCCGAAAACACTTCAATAAGTAATTGAACTATTTCTTCTTCAGTTAACGGTCTTTCAAACTCACTTGACTTGATCCTGTTCGTATCTTTTTCTGTATTTATAGTCAACATCAAAGATAACAAATCGACTTTCAACTCTTCCTTCTCGCTCATGTTTTCAATCTCTCTCTTCCTTTCATTCACAATCTTTTTCATCTCCTCTGTAAGCCAACCAATCCTCCTCTTCATCCGTTCCGCAATCTGTCTAAAGCCTGGGACATAGTGTCTTAAGAACGGTGAAATAAAGTAAAAATATTTGCCGACTTGATTAAAGAAGAGAATATGAGACACGAATTTAGAATACGATTGGATGGATGATTGAGGGAGAGATTTTTTGAGGTGCGGAGCAAGCAGAGAGTTGAAGTATGTAGAGAGAGCGTAAGTTCTTTGACTAGTAACTATTCGTACTTGCGTATCTACATTGAGACAGTGTATCCATTCGGTGAATTCTAAAGAAGTACTATCACCAAGCTCCTTCCAATATTCTTCTGCTTCTGAAAACAATGTCTGCACAACAGTAACAATTTCTTTGATGTATTTGGTCGAAGTTAGGCAATGGTTCAACAACCTCCTATTCAATAACCAGCTATTTCGTTCCTTGTTCCCGATCAAGCCCTTCTTTGTTAAGCCCAATTCCTCCCATCCTTGACTCTCTGATGCAGCTCTGATAAAATAGTTAGATTTAACCGACTGCGTAAGAACTTTTTCTGCTAGATCAACCCGGTTCAGCATTATAAAACGCTTATTGGCAATATAAAATTCAAAGACGTCGCCATATCGTTTGTGCATGGCAGCGTAAAATTTAGATGAATTTTTCATCTGATGGAGGTTACCAGCAATAGGAAGAGGAATAGGACCAGGAAGCGGGTTCTCACGGGTAATGTAAGTGACATAAAAATTGATCACATATAACAGAATAAGGATAAGAAAAGACGAAAAGACTGGTAACAAGAGAGAGGTTAATTGCATATAAAGTGACATTTTGATTGAATGGTGTGCAGAAACTAAAGCGTGCCAACTATCTTAAATTGCCAGAAATGATTGTAACCAAATTTGGAATCGATAATGATGTCGATACTAGCTAGTTTTAGAAGTTAGATATTATAACACGTTAAACTTCAACACGCATAAAAAAATTAGTCAAATCATCAATGCTAATAGCGTTTACACGCCAGTTAATAGTATTCTATAAATAACACATACCACAAGCGCCTTTACTATAAGAAAGAACTATAATACTTCTACACCTTTTGTTCCGTATTTCTAGCCTTTAAATAAACATTCAACTCTTTGCAAGTGTTGGCTATTGTAAAGGCATATTCTAACTCCTTATCTGGTTCACATAACTCAACCTCAAACTTTGAAAACAACAAGATAATAAAAGTCTTCATCAGTTTCTCAGCTACAACTCTACCTGGACACACCCTCATTGTCCCACCAAAAGGTAGGAACGTTCTTGGTTTTATCTCATCGCCGCATTCGTCCAAAAATCTCTCAGGTCTAAATGTTTCTGGATCCTTCCAATGAGCTTTGTGTTTGTGAATGACTCCGATATTGACACCAATCGCCGTACCAGCGCGCCATTTGTATCCGGCAACTTCATCATCTTCAGAGGCTATTTGAATTAATAATGGAACAACAGCAAATATGCGAGCAGCCTCTTTCATCACTGCGTTCGCGTATGGGAAAAGCGTTGTGAGAGAGTCGTAGGAGAGGATGCCGTCATCGGCGGACAGTGTAGCATCGATTTCCGAGATGAGGCGAGATTTAACGGCTGGATGTTTGCAGATGTAATAAACCGTGGAGCAGAGGGCGTTTGTTATCTTGTACATAAAAATTGAAAACAAATCCATTTAATATCAACAACGTAAGCAATTGAAAAAAGAGTCTATTGACAAAAAATACGTGATTTCCAGTGACAAGGGTCAAACATCAGCATTTACTTACTGTACCAATTCCGCCAGAAAACACTTCAATGAGTATCTGAACGATCTCGTCCTCGTTCAATGGTTCCTCAAACTCACTCGCTTTAATTCTATTTGTATCTCGCTCTGTGTTGGTAGTCAACATCAGCGACAGCAAGTCTATCTTCAACTCCTGCTTGTCGTCCATGCTCTCAATGAGTTGCTTCTTATTTCTTACAATTTTCTTCACCTCCTCATTAAGCCACGCTACTTTCGCCTTCATTCGCGCTGCAATCTGCTTAAAGCCTGGAACATAGTGTCTAAAAAATGGTGGAGTCGTGTAAAAGAATCTTCCAATCGAAGATCTGTAGAGAAGATGAGAGACAAATTCGGAATAAGATTGGATGGACGATTGGGGAAGAGGTTTTTGGAGGTGAGGCGGAAGGAGAGAATTGGCGTATGTAGGGAGAGCATAAGTTTGCTCGCCAGTTATTATTTTAATTTTCGTGTCTACAGTCATGCAATGCATCCATTTTGTGAATTCTAAAGGTGTATTGTCACCAAGCTCTTTCCAATACTCTTCGGCCTCTAAAAATCGGTTGTGGGCAACATCAAAAATCTCTTTCATGTATTTGGCCGAAGTCAAGCAATGGCTCAAAAAGCGTCTGTTAAAGGCCCAATTTTTCAATTTCGTATTTGAAAACAGTCCCTTTTCTGTGAGACCTAGCTCTTGCCACCCCTGACTTGCCGATGTGACCCGAACAAAGTAGTTGGATTTAATTGATTGCCTAAGAACGTTGTTCTCTGCCAAATCAGCCCGATTAAGCATGACAATCCGCTTATTGCCCACATAAAATTCAAAGGCATCTCCGTGTTGTTTATGCATTGCGACCAGAAATTTGTACATATCTGACATATGGTAGAGGTTGCCGATTATAGGAAGAGGGATGGGTCCAGGAAGAGGGTTTTCCCGGTAGACATAGGAGACGTAGAAGTTGGTTACATATAGAAGAATGACGGTAAGGAGAATATGAGGAAGATGTGAGAAGATTATTGGAACTAGAGCAGTTAATTGCGTATAGAGCGACATTGTGGTGATTAGTTGTTTAGGCGTCGACGCCTGTTTAATTATAGTTGCTATGCTAGTGATCTGCACTACAAATATGGATATTAGAATAGCAGTGCAGTGTATACTTCGGTCAATCAATCCTTTACTTATATAGGAATAGTAATTATTAGTTTACACTTTATCTGCCGCTTTGTTCGGATTTTTTTAGTAACCTAAATAACCGTGATAATAATCCGAATTGTTACGGGAAAGCGGATGCACGGATTTAATTACCGTAATTTCCCACGGTTATATTGGCGACAGATGTTTAAAAAGCGATGTGATACAGGTCATAGTTTGCGACCCCGGCTCATCACTGCAGTCACCCTCTTCTACAATGCAACATTGTACCAGAATTCTCTGCCTTTAATCATTGGATGCCCAGACATATGTATTATTATTATCGCTATGTTACGCATGTTTGATATTCAATTAAAGAATGTGTTGAAATGTCTATGACGCCAAAAGCGATGCGCATGACGCAGCAGTTGCATTACGTGATGATAGTTGGTGGAACATCTAGCTCTTATACTTCTCTCATGTAATAACTTATTCGGTCATCACGAGAGAGACTATAACTAATAGAGCAAATTACGGTCGAGTAGATTACTGAAACGAGGATGCGCAAACTAAAAGTGAAACAAGCGTAATCTTTAAACCGATGTTTCCTTCATATTGCCAATTGTTCTGGTAAGGTAAAGGCTATGGCAAGCTGCATAACTAGTAAGCTAAGCATTAAAGGCATCGACAGGATCAAGATATGTATGCAGTGCCAATTACAATAAGATGTCTTCTCATGACAATAGTCATGCAAATTCTCTATAATCAAATTTTGCCATAATTACAAGCGTAAGCTACGACTCACACATTTTTTGATTTATGTGAAGTTCCATTATTATTCGCGTCCCATGCCCAGAAAACACAAACACGTGATATATACAATACTGTTATGTAGTTATTAAAAAATTCACACAAGCTATTCATCCGAATTTCCTCACCCTCGATTTCTTGTTTTTAAATACACCTTCAACTCCTCACATCGGTTATTTAATATATACTTGCGCTTTACCTCCTTATCCGGTTCGCATAACTCAACTTCGAACTTTGAAAACAACAGTATAACAAGAGTTTTGACCATCCTCTCAGCAACTAGTTTACCCGGACACGACTTTACTGTCCCACCGAAAGGCATAAACGCTTTTGGTTCTAATTCGTCCCTATTTTCGTCCAAAAATCTCTCAGGCCTAAATATCTCGGGATCCTTCCAATATGCTTTGTGTCTATGTATGACGCCATAGTTGACAGCGACTGCTGTACCCGCACTCCATTTGTATCCAGCGAATTCGTCATCCTCTAAGGCGACTTGAGCTGATAATGGAACTACAGTCATCATGCGAGCAGACTCTTTCATCACAGCGTTAGTGTATGGGAAGAGAGTCGTGAGTGAGTCATAAAAAAGATTATTGTCCTGAGAGGAAAGGGCCGCGTCGATTTCAGCAACAAGACGAGATTTGACTTCGGGATGTTTGCAGACACAGTAGAATAGAAAACAGAGTGTGCTCGTAGTCTAGAAAAAAAGATTATTTAATTAATTAAATATTGATCGACGACACATCGACGATGGCGACAAGGCCTACTCACCGTATCAACTGCGGCAACAAACACTTCAATGAGCAATTCGACAATTTCTTCCTCGCTAAACGGCCTCTCAATATTATCCATTTTAAACTTATTGTTATCTCTTTCCGTATTGATAGTTAACAACATTGTTAATAAATTGACCTCCAGCGCCTCATCATTGTCCATATTCTCAATCGTTTTCTTTTTCTCACGCACGATCTTTGCCACTTCGTTCTCGAGCCATTTAAGCCTCCTTTTCAACCATTCAGCAATATGCCTGACGCCTGGGACGTAATGTCTAATAAACGGTGGGATGAAGTAAAAAAATAGTCCTGTTGGAGGCCAGGCGAGCAGATGCGATATGAATTTGGAATAGTCTTCCAGTGATTGATGAGATAAAGATTTTTTGAGGTGAGGAGGAAGGAGAGAGTTGTAGTATGAAGAGAGAGAGTAGGTCGTTTGACCAGTGATCAATTTTATTTGCGTATCTACGATCAAGCAATGTATCCATTCTGTGAATTCAAGAGGTTTACTATCACCAAGATCCTTCCAATACTCTTCCGCTTCTGAAAATATTTGCTGGATACCGTTGACACTCTCCTTAAAGTATTTTGTGGAATTCAAGCAATGGCTCAACAACTTTTTGTTGAACAGCCAACCCGTAATCGAACGGTTTCCAAGCACACCCCTGTTCGTCCAGCCCAACTCCTCCCATCCCTGACTCAACGATGCATCTCTGAGAAAGTAGTTGTTGGATTTAATCGACTGTCTAAGGATGTTATTCTCTCCCAGATCAACTCTATTAAGCATTATGAGACGCCTGCTACCAATATAGAATTCAAAGATGTCCCCGTATTGTTCATGCATTGCATTGGCAAATGTGTAAGCATCTGCCATTCTATGAATATTACCGATAATAGGAAGAGGAATGGGACCGGGAAGAGGGTTTTCTCGGTTGATGTAAGATATGTAAAAGTTGATTACATATAGAAGAATAATGGTGAGGAGAACATGGGGCAAATATGAAAGAATTGTCGGGACTAGAGCAGTCAATTGCGTATAGAATGACATTTTTTTCGTTCGACTGTGGTTATCGTAAGCGTCGATGCCTGTTTAAGTATACTTTTTGTACAATGGTAATCGTGTACGGCGTGATCGGCACTACAAATTCGGTCAAAAAGAAATCTAGAAACATGTTTGTGTGCACTGTTGCTTCCGGAAGACTTATCCGCTTATCCGCTTATCCGAATGCAAAACAGCACATGATATCATTGTATTTTTTCAATCTGCAGAACGCCAAGTGGCGGTTACTGCTTTTTGCCTTTTGGGGAGTCAATAATAGATAATAATTGCTGAATTGAGAAGAATCATGATCGCCTAGTTGTTCACGTAGTCCTCATACGAAGGATTAATGTCATAGTATATAATATAGTAATAGGTAGATCGGCATAAACATATACTGTAGAACGCGTGACGAGACATTATTTCAAGTTTTTGGATCGGTATGACGCCAGCGAAGCAACAAGAAACAAGCAAGTCTTATTGACCTAGTTATACAGGGCATGCAGTTCGGCTATTTTCAACATTCGGCTCTTCCGAAAATTTAATCGAAACATAGAATGAGCGAAGGATTATTACAACAAATATAAAATGTTTAAGCAAGAATATTTACATGCGTAATGAAGCTTTAGATTCCGAATAAAAAGTTGTTCATTCGATAGGCAATACAATAGTAAACCTAGATTGTATTTAACACACGCCACATAACCCATATAAAAACGAACCTTTAGTTCGACCGTTGACGAAAAAGACAACCATTATCAAATTCAATGCAAAATACAATGTAGAGCGACCACTCTTCACACTGATTCATCTAATATTTTAACCCAATCAAACCGTCAAGAGCAAACAATATTGACTAAATGGTTGACGAATTAGGATTAGGATTGGCCAATAATTGAAAGTTCAGAGCTGAAATAATAATAACAATAGAAAAGTAATATTACAGTTTTGCAAATTTAAAATGAGCCCGAGCCGAGGATAGATGTGTTAATGATCTGCTGATTTAGTAACGAAACTGACATCTTCATAAATAAGTGCAATCCCAAGCATGGGACTTGATAAATGCAACCGTATTTTCTGCAATGTGAGTCCCGCTCTAGTGGATTTATTTATGCATTTTTCTAAATAAAACTCACGTGATTCATGTTATTTAAACATTGTGTTGATCATTTTTCCGCGCAACATTATAATTACTTGTTAGAAGAAAGAATCCTTTCTGGAGCATTACTATTTTCTTTTTCAGTGTTTGAGTTTGATCCTGCTTACAATGGCTTTGAGGATTTCAATTGATTATTGTCATAGATCAAGGAAGAATTCTTTGCTAGTAATGAAACCCCAAATGAGGCACTAAAACATAAAGCCATTTCTAATTCAACAAGAGGGTGCCAGCAGCTAGTTAAAAGCCGCCAATAGTTTGGAGAAGTTCATTCGCGAAAAAAGGGTAAATTTGATGAAACAATTAGTGATATTTATGTAAAGTTGGCTGGAAATTATAATAAAAGAAACGCTTTCCTATTAAGTAAACCCTCCATAACACTCGGTCCCGAGGCGTTATTTATGGGAGTATATTTAATTAATCGACATTAACACATACACATTAACACCCTTGTGTATCGCGATTGCCTTGAAATCACATGATCGCCTTTATCTCGGATACGCAAACTTTTGTTTTGGTGTCGTACTCCTGTACTCAGCTACTCTTCGTTCTGAAGCTTAATGAGGTTGAATTCTTTTGTTTTTATTTGTTCTACGTGAATCAAACTCTTACGCTCTTCAAGTCAATATAGCCTTTACCCGATCGTTGTTTCGTAAGCGGTGCATGGTTCGATCTTGTAAGACGAATGCGCGAGCAGTCTCACTGCAACAACAGTTAGCAGAGTCATTTGTAAAGAACTAGACTTTCTACCCGGTTTGGCACAATCCTTGTATCTGCTCAACAGGAAAAAGGGGAAATCGTTGTATCGAAGAGAACATCGTTAGTATGGGTTGCTGTCTAAGTAGGCCACAAGATGATGATGATGAAGAAGAATCCGTCCGACGGGATGATATAGACAATGCTGTTCCAAGAGGAGGTGAGACTTGTGGTGATTTTAGCTTTCGATGGGACGAATTTAGTGTTTCCTAGTTTGATTGGCATGTCGATGCGTTCCTTTGTTGTCCGGTAGACAATCAGTCAACTAGTGTCGGCTTTGCTAGATCTCATTATATGTCTTGACGATAGTGAAACAGATCGCTGCAATAGATTTACCGGCTGAGATGCATTTTCACTCAACGATCCTTGGTGGCGTCTAGCCATAATGATGTCTATTTAAGTGTATTCTGTTTTATTGTCCATAGGTCATAAACCATTCACAAAGAAAGGCTTGACATGGGAGGCGGATTCTTCGATAACCATACGTCAATTGAAAAACCAACGCGATGCATTTTGGGACACTGCACCAAGTTACGAGGTATAGGGGTGATCGTTGGAATTCATGTTATCTTGTCACAGATTATTGTCGTTGTTATTGGGCGATCAAGCATAATTTCACTAACTTACGATTCAAACTTTTTGGTTTTGCAGGGCCGACTAGAAATCTGGCAGGCATTACGCTATGCATGCGAATCTGAGGATTTGGTTTTTGCTCAAGCGATTTTGGACTCTGTCAACGTTACCATTCCAACTGGGAATCTTGCAAATGGTTGTTACGATGAACTCGGTAATCGATATGTAATCCCCGTATACTGTATAGTAGATCCGATAAATCTGACAAAGGATGAAGATGACGAAGGCTCGTCAACCACCAGCGATGATATGGATGCCAAGTTATTAAGTGACCAGCAAGCAACAACGTCTGCGCCGCAACACACTGTCAAGATAAGGCTTTCTAACACGGCAAGGGACATTGATATTGGTGTGAATCTGAAAACTGACACAATTGCAATGCTCAGACGTAAGATATGTCTACATGAAAACTTGGACTTCAAAACTACACATGTGCGCATCCTCTTTCTTGGTCGAGTACTTGAAGATAAGACAAAGGTGGCGGATGTGAAAGTCGAGGAAGGACAAGTGTTTCAAGCATTGATCACTGAGAGAATATTAGGCGACAGATCTGATAGTGTATTGCTACTATGAATCGATAATATATATTTGGGAAGAGTTATACACACCTTTACATTTGACAAATCGGTCATGTGGACAAACTCCATAGGGTTTAACAAATTAATGAAATAATCAGTATGTTGAAATAGTTGTATGCTATTTATTATTAGTGTAGATATACGGTATGAAACTTAATAATCTGCTCCTGTAAACTATTTGATATGGTGAATCTGAATACATATATGTATGTGCACAATTATTACTCAAACAATCATTGAACAGACATTCCGTGTCTGCAATTGATGCGTATATTTGTTACTACCTATATTATGACAAAAAAGATACGAAGACCATTAATGGCATGGCATTATAAAGGATTTCTTAATTCCAATGTCCTGATACCGACGGTCGTTTACATTCTGCAGTTCGAGCATAAATAGTATGCGATGCCACATACGTGACGTGTAACAGTAATAGTAAGAGCGCTCTCACCAGTTTATCGAGCCAATCGAATTTGGTAATCAGTTTATCATTGGCTAGATAGTGCTCAACAGCT